GATGTAGGCCCTGGATTAACTGCAATTAACTGAGTTAATTCTTGACAGATCCTGCTTAAGGAGTTAGAGTAGACATACTTTTCTTTGGCCTCGATGATTGTATTTTGGCTAAAAACATCAAAATTACCATTTTGGTTATAGAAAACTATATAACTATATAATTCAAACACAAGCTAACCAGAACATATTAAAATTTGAAAGCAGCTTTCTCTTGAATGCTACCTGAAAGTGCCTCAATTTAATCCTTTGCTTTGTAAATTCAGATACAATCTGAGTATGAAACTATAAATGTCTTTAAGAAATATGTCATCTCACAGTCAGCAAGCTCTCAAGATTCTTGGTGGTCCCAGGAATGCTAAAGGCACTTCAGTGTACATCTTTGAAGGGTAATGGAATGTTATTATGGAAATAAAACTCTGGCTGATTAACAGATAAATGTATATTGAGAAGACTAGATCTTAAAATTACTTTCTCGGGATTAAAAAGAAAAAAAAATCCTAATCCCATTGCTAGAGTATATTTAGAAAGGGAAGACAGAAAATTCAGTGGACATTGTGGTAATCAAAATTGGTGACATTTAAAAACTTTCTTTTGCAACTCCACTTTAAATTTACATCACTTGAAATTCTAAATTGCATATAATAACACACTTAACTTAAAAATATTTATACTTAATGGGGTGCTTAAAACTGAGAACTTTCTGAATAGCAATTCTAATGAGGCTTTTTTAAACTACCAATTTAAACTCATGCAAGAAATACAGATTCACTAGTGCACCTAGGTAGAATATTTCTTTGCTCAAATGTCACACTATTTTTTTCTCCTGGGTTGCATCCATGCTCCTGTGATTGAACCATTAGGTTGCGGATCTATCTTTTGGAATATATAGACCCATTTCCCTTCCACTCAACACATGGATTAGCAGTTTAAAATGTAATTCCTTTCTATTGAAGGAACGTGTAATTAAGGCACATTTAAATAGCCCTTTAAACCAATGAGATGACAATGTGCTACCCACAGAGAAAGCTTAATTTTTGGAGTAATTACATATAACACAGAATATCTCATGAGAACATTTTTGGCTAGGTCTACTAATTACAAAAATAGTTTTTCATTTGAGGCAAAGATGCCGATTCATCATTGGACAGATGGTAACGGATCATCATTTTATTTTTGTAACACCTATCTTTGCAAGGGGGAAAGCTACTATATATGAAATATTTATGTAATTTAAGAAGTCAATTAGTTATTCTGTGTTTTAAGGAGGATATAAAACTGTGGTTGTAAATCCCAGAACCTGGTCTTTTTTTTTTTCCCCCAGTGAAATTATATGGACATTTTGCGGAGGAAATTATGAGATGTAGCTTGTGGTCTGTTATAATTTTTCATCTAGTTGTCATGGTATTCTACAATGGTGCACTTATATTTAATGCTCTTATAGATCTAAGTTACCTACATATGTCCACCATTGTTGGGGTGGGCTACCATAATGAGGAATGATAGCATAGGTTTCTTCAAACTCCTCCATTAAACCAGTGAAATGGCAGATGACATAGTCTGATCAGTGGTGCAGAAATACATTAAAAATTTCAATCATATCACTTTCTATAATCAAAAGTTTCTTAACTTTCTGCAGCACACAGCGTGAAGAACACAGGTCTGGACCCAGTCTTTATAGCTGTGGAACTTTGGGCAAGCCACTCCACCAAGTTTCCTCATTTTTTTAAATGAGTTGTCGTGAGGATTCATTAGAAAAAACAAATAGGTTAAATCTCGAACAGTTCCTGACCTGTAGTAGGCACAGACTTTAGCTGTGCCTGTGTCTTTTTTGAGAGATACAATGGTTACTCTCTCTCCCTCTTTTTAAAATGGTGCCATTCACAGCAAAGCCGTAGGCGTCTCTTATTATTGTGACTTTTCAGTTTCTTTAGTACATCAACAAGTGATGTTTTCTCAGGACCCAGGATTAATGTAGATGAGAAATCCTTAAACTTCAGTATGCATAAGGATCGTTTGGGAAATTTTGCTTGAAGACAAAGATTCCTAGGCTTTCTTCCCCCAAATCAGAAATACTGATTTAAACTGCTGATTTAATATAGGGCTAAAATGTCCTCTCATAAGAGCATTTTACTTAATACCCTCCTTCCTGACTGCTGGTGTCATGCAGAGACTCTCCACCTCCCCACAAGTACCCAGGCTTTGTGCCTTTTGCGTGGATTCCCTGGGACAGTTTCGTTTGTTAGGTATAGTCAGAGAATGAACTAGTTCTTCATTTAAAAAGCAGTGATTCCAGCCCATACATCATCTGATAGAATGGCTGGTTATATAGAGTGTACTGGAAAAGAACATTTATAACCCCGTTATATACTGCATGAGAAAGCAGAAAAGCTTAAATTCTAGCAGCACTTCTGCTAGTAACTGAATATGTGACTCTACCCCAGTTCCTTAATCACTTTGTATGCAGTTAGTGTATCTGATGGGAACGCTGATGCTTTCCCGACTGAAGGTAACATTCTAGGGCTTAGATCAGAATGTCTCAGGCTTCCTTTTACTCTGGAATCTATACTTTTTCACAAAGGGTTGTATCCCACGTGTGCCCTGCCTGAACCCAAATTGCAGTGGTGCACATCTGCCACATTTTCTTGGGAGAATAATCATTTATGATTCATTATGTCCTGGTACAATACTACGTATGAAGGATTGTGGGAAGTACCAGGCACCCAGATATCTCAACAACAATTTAAACCTACTACCAATTCACTGCAAACACTTGTTATTTTAATGCGCAAAGGATTTTATTTACTTGGATCTATTAGGGAAAAATTTAAATGATATAAATTTAAAGGAACCCTGAGGTAATCAGACTATAGCAGTAATGTTCTTAGTTAAGAGGTTTGTTGCAGTCAAAGATGTAGAGCAGCATTTATATAATTGATGGACATCTGTTTTAATTATAATTTAGTTTCTTCACATCATCTCTTAAATAGACTAATAAAAATGTTAGTCCAGAGTTAACTTCAGTCTTCAAGTAGCGAATACCATATAATGTAGAAGTAAAAAATACAGGATATTGAGATTTTGATCTGTGCAGTGGGGTTTAGCTAAGTACACAGTCTTTAAACAAAAATATACAAACACAAGTGTTTTGTGCTCTCAATGCTATTAGAAACTAAGGGAGTGAATTTACTTAGGATTTTGTTGTAAAATGATAAACTACCTAACTGATAATTATTTGTCTTTCTTTGTTTCAAATTCAGCTCCAAAGGAAGAACTAGAATGAATACATTGAACCTTGATTCACTATTTCTGATCCTTTGGTATAAGGGATTCTATTATTTGACCTGACATGCAACTATATGTGTATTTCTCCCACCTCTTTTCTGCTGTTTTCTGTGTAGCAAGAGAGGGCACTGACATTGAGGCTTGTGGGATCTTGGTTCTTTAGCCCTTTCCTATACACACTCCTCAACATGGCAGATGCTTTCAGACACACAAGTGCATTGTTTACGAAATATATATTATAAGGTAGTTTCATTTCTTACGTAAAACATGTGCACACAGGCAATTCAGATGAAAATGGATTTCTGCTTGAATTATCTAGCTAATTGCCTCAATTCTCTTCTTTGCCTTGAGCGTATAAGCATTACTTATGGTAGGAACAGCTGCCCTTTATAAATCAATCAATGCTGATTAATTCTCTCCTTTCAACTTCAGTTTCCCTTTAAACTAAGATTAGGTTTATGTTCATCCATTAAAGAGTGAAGACTTAGACCTATAGACACTGTCTATGAAGTTGCTCTGGAGGCGTATGATGGGGACGTGTGTTCCAATGTTGTGTTAGAGAAAAATAATCCACATGAAATATTCTGAGGATATGTTTCCTAAGGGGAATTGCTTTGTCAAATACCAAATCAATTTCTAAAGGTAAGCTCAAAGTTTAAACACCTAATGGAATTCTGTGGTTTCGGGGAATAGTGGGTACTAAGGCCATTCAATGACAATGTCAGTATGAAAAGCTTCATTTTCAACATGAGAAAAGAACTGAAGTATAGTAACACTGTATTTTCTGCCTAAAAGTAGAAGCATGAATATTTTCTACGTTGTCATCTTAGTCACATGTGGATAAAGAAGGGAAAAAACATCAAAAGATTTTTTGTAGAATTAAGGAGCTTTTCGTTGATCAAAATAACTATTTCTTTCATAAGGAGTCCTTTTTGTTAGCAATTGATGCTTTAAAAAGCAATTTGATGCTTTTTAAGATATTTTGGGTTTTCAAAGAGAAACTTTGCTACTTTCCTGTGGAAATTATATGGTATTCTGTGAAAACTGCCTTACAGCAAGGAGTTTCAGAAAAGTACATGAAGGAAGAGCAATGTGAGATGCTTTCATTTTAGAGTAGCTCTATTTCAGTGCTTCCAACAGAAACAGCACAGGAAGAAATAAATATTTTCTCCCTCACAAGACATACATCACTCCCGAAATCAACTGAGACATATTAGGGATTTCAAAGCTAGTCACCTTATAAGTTGTTAGGAAAAAAAAATTTACATTTATATTGCTCTGTGCAGCTACCTTGAGATTTTCCCCTGGAATGTTTATGGCTCTTTTTTTTTTCATTAATACTTAAAAAAATACAATTTCATAACCAGTGTATTACTACATCTAGTTGTGTTACTAACAGGCACTTCACTTCATAAAATAGTCACATTCAAAGTGGTTTTGGTCAACCAATCACTCAGTCAGAATACTCGTTCTTCATATTGAATACTTGATAGTGAAAGTTAATCTGAAACCATATCAACTCTTCATTTCTATTACAGAAACTAGGTCACTAAAGCTCTAACATAGGGAATCATTTCTGTTTCTACGTGTTTTATCCATAGGAGCGAAGATTGTCCAGAACTTCTTGGAAAATTCCCCCCCAAATATTTTATATATATCTATATATCTATAGATATATCTATATCTATAGATATATAGATATATATAGATATAGATACAGCAGATTTCTTTTTAATAGATAAATCTTAAGTATGATTTCAATAACTTGCTTTTACATAATCAGAAATCTAGATATAAGAAAAAATATTAAATGTGCAAAATGCTCTTTTTACACATACATTAAAAAATACAAAGGAAGGATAGCTTTATACTTATATCAAAAGCCATTGGAGGGAAAAAGTCTTCAATGTCAGAAAATCTAGTCAGATTAGAGCTTTCACTTGAGGAATTGTAAACAAACGTTTTCAAATGCTGAGAGTTTTCTCAGTTCTTTCCAGCTAAGACACTCTCAAACACATCAAGTCCTGCTTTGAAGTAAACCTGAGCTGCATTAATGCTGTTCAATACTTCTGACAGGGCTTCTTGAAGGGTCTCATTTGATGCAAGTGACTTGCAGTGTTCCCAAGCCTCCAGGAGTATTGAAAACTGGCTTGTCTTCCCATCAAGGTGGTACAGGATATTTCTGAAAAGAAATACAGAATGAGTAAATGTTTTATGCACCATGCTATTTTCATATCAAACATTGTAAAAAATATTTCCAAGAAACTTATGTTTTTAAGAAATTAAGAAATTATAAGAATACAATATTATCATTTTGGGACCTCTATTGAATTAATGGATCTAGACATTGATCATCAAAAGTTCCCTCTAGTGATGAGAGAGGATCAGACAGTATGTACCTCCTGATGGAAGTACACAGTACTACCTATGAAATCAATTATTTTTGCTAAAAAATTGATCTAAATCTGATGAAGCTTCTAAATCTAATTGCTAATAATACAAGGGACAGAAAAATATAAAAATGATACCACAGTCTGTCATCAGCAAAATACTGTGAAAATCCTGTAGGACAAATGACACAGTTTATTCAATGAATAAATTGTAATAAATAGGTGAAGGAGGAACCACTCGACCAGGGCTTTTCAACCTTGTGTTGTTGACATTTGTGGAGTGGTGGGGTGGGTGATTCTTTATTGTGGCAGCTTTCCTGTGCATTGTGGGATGTTTAGCAGTATCCCTGACCTCCACCCACTAGGTACTAGCAGCACCCCTCCTTTAGTTGTCTCAGTTAGTTTGGGCTGCTATAACAGAATCCTGGAGACTGGGCAGCTTAAACAGTAATCCAATGGTTGGATTGTTGATGAGAGGCCTTTTCCTAGCTATATCCTCACATGGCCTTGTGCATGAGCACAGAGAGATCCCGTGTCTTCTTTTAATAAGGACATTAGTCCCATCATGAGGGCCCCACCTGTATATGACCTAATCTAACCTGGATTACTTCCCAAAGGCCCATCTTCGAATACCATCACATTGAGGTTAGGATTTTAACACACATATTTTGGGAGAATCAGTCCACAGCTGTTGTAAAAACTAAAACTGTCTCCAGACTGCCAAAACTGTCTCTTATAGGGCAAAATTGCCCCCAGTTAAGAACTGCTGCTTTAGACTAAAAGAAATGTCAACCCATCCAGTATAGACTTTACTAGGTCTTTATTCAAACAAACAATTTTTAAAAATGAGTAGTACAAAATTGAATACTAATTAAGGATTTGTTAATATTAAGAAATTGTTAATATTTTAGGTGTGATAATGGTATCATCAGTATGTTTTCAAAGTGTCCTTATCTTCTAGAAATATACAGTAATATTTACAAATGAAAAGTTATTACATCTGGGATTTGCTTCAAAATATTTGGAAGGAAAAAGGAGAGTGGAGCTATGGACATCACAGGTAGAACAAGACTGACCATTAGTTAATAATTGTTGAAATGGGGTAATGGATTCATTATACTATTCTCTCTCCCTTTGTATATGTTTGACATTTAGAATTCTTCTCAAGTAGAGTGTGTGTAATAAGACGGTGACTTGAAATTTATCCAAATATCTGAGAAAGAGGAATTTGGCCGTGGGCAAGTCTAAAGAGCTTCCTTTTATTCACTGATAGATAGAAAGAATACATTTTGGTAGAAAGCTATGGATTATTGCATCATTTGACTTATTTCCAACCCAAACCACCTGAAATAGCTGAAATTTCATGGTCTAATAAGAGAGGCAGATATATAAATGATTAAAATAATTGTCTAATTGTCATATTAGAAATGTAAGGTCCAGTGATAACGGAAGAAGGATTGCTGCTGGAAAAATTTATCATGGAGAATATTACAATTTCATCTTGAAGGATGATGGGAATTACCAGTTACAAGGGTATAAGAAAGGAAACAAGCTAGAAAGTGGAGACAGCACCCTATGTAGGAGGAATAGCATATGCAAAGGTATGGATTTATAAAACAGCTTGCTCTTCTTAGTGGATCAATGCCAGTGTTTCTGTATGGCCAGAGTGCAAGGCCACAGTGGGCAGCTGTAGGAGAAGAGCTGGCAGAGCAAGCCATGGCCACGTCCTACCGGGCCTTCTGTACCAAGCTAAGGAGGTTACACTTTTTCTTATGGGCGGTAGGAAACCAATGAAAGTTTTTAAGCAAGAAAGAAAGATTATTAGATTTTATTTTGGAATAGTTACTTTGGTTGTAATATAAAGCCTAGAGAACGACTTAGTCCAGATGAAAATTGACAAAGATGTCAGTTACACAATGATAGTTGTTTGAAAGGGCCACAGTGCAAGGTTTAGTTAATTTTCACTTACCCTAGCACTGACCTCAGTTTTATATAGAGTTCTGGATCATTGTTTCCTAGCTCATCCAGGCTTCACTACTTCAGCCTCTCCTAAACTTCCCACTCTGTACTCTGATGGTGGTGAATGGACACTGAAATCTACCTAATCACCCATGACAGAACTCTGCAAGTCATTTCTTTCCCTTAAATATCCAACTGGTTTCTGAAGATACTCACTGTCCATCTTTTCAGCATCTTTTCTCCTCTGTTGTGGGACCCTGATCCCTGTATTTTCAAGGATATATTATAATATCATTGCTTTACATATCAGCGTTGAGAAATATGTTCCTTCTTTATCAGGTCTAATTCAGTGTTGTGAATATAGGAGGTCTTCAATCATGGTGATTTGACTGACTTACATTTTTATCAGGCTTTGTTCAGTGATGGAAATTTCGTAGACCCTCTAATGTCCGTGTAAACTACATCAATTCAGGTTATTTTGCCTTTTAAGCATTAACTCACTTCAAAACAATAGATTTTGTGTCTTTGGAGAAAAATTTCAGTTAATAATAGTACATGGTGGGTGGCAGTGGAGCAGAAGATGCTTGAACTCAGAGGTTATTTCAGTAATTTTTTTTTCAAAACCTATTATTTGAAATGGGAACTATCCCTAATAATCCAATATCCTTAATCTTTGTACTTATGAATATACTTGGCATTTTATGAATTAGAGCAGTGCAAGAAGGATATTCTTTATATTCCAAATATCCTTGAATTCAGGTATAAACTTTGTATTAAGAAACACATATCCCCTGGATATAGGAGGGAGAAAAACATCTTCCAGATGAAGAGGCAAGTGGGTCATGAGAATGATCTGGCTATGAGCTGTACTCTGAGAAAAATGTGGCTCTACTTTTACAAGGAGAATACTCCTTGAAATAGAGATTTCCCTTTTGATATTTCCACAGCCTTCATAAAATTAAAGAACTTTTCAGAAGTAGCCACTGTGCCATGTTAAAATAAGCAATTATATATGTATCTACATAGACATATGTACATGTGTTTTATGTGTAAAAATTTTTATTATATCAAAATGACAAACAAAATAGAATTAGCAAAACACCTAATGAAAGTTTCCCTAAATATAAGTTTTATTAGTTTTATATTTATTATTAAATTGGGGAGGGGGTGGTAAAAGGAACCAACCAATAGAGAGGAAGCTTGACATAGCCATGGAATTTTCCCAGATGAAGATGAAACTGCCTCAGATGGTCACATGTATTCTCCTACATGACAGAGCTGTACAAAAGTTACTTTTTCCTGTTAACATAATCCTTAATCGCCATAAAAAAAGGAGTGGGTTTTTACTGTCAGGATACCTATCAAACATATTTAAATTCCTGGTAAATGATTTAAATAGATAGGTAGGTAGGCAGATAGATAAAAACTGGTTTAGTATTTTGAGGATAAAAGTAGTTTAAAGTATATTTTAATTACTTAATCATTTAAAATAGTATTCCTTTGTAGGCAAGTTATACTGCTTTACCATTAAGAATAACCAAATTAGTATAATAAAAATATTTAATCATCTCTCATAATATTCATAGTTTTGAATTCTCTTCCTCTAATTCTCAGTTTCATTATAAATCATTTAATGGCAAATATATTTCCAGAATTTAAGAGTGCAAAAATATTTTCAGAAGCTGTATGAAACACTTCTGTTTCTTGAGGGCATACTGCTCAGCATGCTGGCAAACAAAGATATTACAATCATTTTTATCCAGAACTGCCCCTTCAATGTGTTGTACCAGTGCAATTAATACATTATGAGAAGTAAGTTTAATGATGTGGGGGGCTGGCATAGTGACCTTTTGACATATTCAAAACCCACTGGCATGAAATACATTCCTATATACACATTCTATGTTTATCAAATGTTAAATGTTATTAATATTCAATTTAATGATAAGATATTAATAAAACATGCTCATAAAGGTTACAGTATTAATCCCTCAATGACAGTTCATTTAAGCATGAGCACAATCTCTAATATATTTACATAAAACTTCAGCCATAACTAGTATAAAATATCTAGAAGAGAGATCATGTGGAAGCATAAAAATACATCCTAAAAATAATGTTTGGGTCTAAAGCACAAGACATGCAATTACTGTTTTTTTTTTTTTTTTTTTAACTCGAAAGCAATACATATATTTCTTAAAGACCAGTGCAGTGGAGTCTGCAATGTGCCAACATTTGCTTTTTCTAACTAGTAAGCAACACAGTAATACTTTTATAATGACTGTAAACAAGCCATGTGCATAGAAATAGATTCTGTTTTGGTTTGTGAAATTCTACAAGAAGCTAAACACATTTTCCATATGCTACATGATTCAAGGAGTAGGCTGTGGCAAGCTATTATGTAAGACAAACACTCATATCCATTTCTACCCAAATTGGATACAAATCAGCTTAAAATTACAGATACTTAGATTCTGGCTGAAGATCAGTGACTAGGATTCTTTCATCACAGTTTAAGAGAGAACCTTAATTTGGGGTAGTTGCTGATACAACTTAAGTCAGTTGATCTTTATTATGGTAGAATTTTTTCACCTTGATAAATTGCTTTACCTTAAAAACAAATTGAAGATAACAAAAATACCTTCTTTAAATTTTCATGAGAAGGATAATTTCTCCTGCCCATTTTCAGAAGTAGCTCATCTTTTACTATTTCTCCTTTGTGTACTAAAAACCATTTAGCTTGCTGCATACAAAAAATAAATTGCTGTATTTGGAGACCTTTCCCAAAAGAGTATCATCATATTATTTTATATTTGCTATTTGAATGGAAGAC